GCGTGGAGCTTTTGCGCCGCAGGGGGCCTCCCTCCTCCCGAGAAGAAGCGCGGGCGGAGCAGGAAGGAGGAGGATGGAGGGAGGATGATATTCCCCCTGTTTCTTCGTTCCTTCGAGGGTCCTGCTGATATGCCCGATGCCATTCGCAGTCGCAGTCCCAGCAGTCCTAGCCGTTCCTAAGATATGCCCTGTCCTTATTCCTTCTGAAAATCTACCCCTACTTTGCCACCGAGCTGGTCGATCGCCCCCCACCAAATCTGGGACGCCCCACCCGAGTTTTTGAAGCCGAAGCAAAGTCGACGTTTTCCTTTCAACATGGACAAGAACGGGACGCGGCGCGCATCGCACGCGAAAGGGCGAAATGCCGCTTTCGCTTGTGCGCCGCGCTTCTTTTCCCTGAGAGTTGAGCTCCCGCTTGGACGCGGCGCACATGTTGCGCACCCCAATGCGTTGACGCGCGAGCGGACGAAGATGCCGCTCTCGCTGCGGCCCTGCGCAGATTTCGCCTGAAAGTGGCGCTCCCGCGTGGGCGCGGCGTGTAGGTGTCACTCGCCAAGTTTCGGGGCCCCGCGCGAACGAGCCACTTGTCGCTGTCGTCAAAGCTCCGTGCACATGTTGCTTGGAAGTGGCGTTCCTGCGTGGCCGCGGCGCATGTTTCGATCGCCGAAACCAATGCAAGCGGCAGTGGCAGCGGGGCCGCGCGTCGGCGGCGCGCATTGCTTCGACTTTGCCGCGCTCATTGGAAATTTGGCCGCCCAGGAGAGCGCTAAATCGTGCTCCCGACGCAGCGCCGCGCAAGGATCTCTTGACAGTCCGCTTCCACATTTGCGCGGCCTGCTCAGCTGTCCCTTCACCGGGTCGTCGGAGGCGGGGGTGCACGCGAATGTCTTCCCTTCGCAAGGTGGAACTGTTTTTCCATCCCAATGCCAACTTGTGACACACACCATTCCAATGCCATGAGGGGACGGTGGGGATCGGTGGGGCGTGCTGATTCGTTCGGCCTGGCTACTTTGACTCGTAGGGCCCTTGCTCCTAGCGCTGGTCCAGCAAGTCTGATCGTATCTGCTCAAAGTACAACTCAACATGCGTCTATCGGTTTCGTGGGGTGTAGCAGCGGTCCGAATTGGACGAGGTAGCAGTCCGCCCTTTGCCGATGCCATGTCCACTTGTGATCTCGAGGCTTGGTGACCGTCGGGTCGGAAACGTCTGTGGGCCTCCTTCGGGGTGTAATATTCTTCGAACCAGCTTTCTCCAAACAGTGCTTGCACTCAAAGCAAATTCCTTGCATCACCAACAACTGGGCCCGTATGTCGCACTTTTTGGTTGCCGCATGGCTTTCCGCGACTTCCCAAACCGTTGGGGTGTAATTCGCATTTTTGTTTGCGGTCGCCGCCTACATGTCTATGACGTCCTGTGGTTTCTTGTGGCTTCCCTTCCGGATCGGGTTTTCGCATTTTCCAGTCGCCGTTTTACTTCACATGCGTTCCATGGTTTCCCAATTGTTCTTATTGCGCCGTCTATTCTGTTTTTGATCTAAGTCTCAGATTCGGCCGAGGCTCGGTTCCGCGGAATCTTCATGTTTAGTCTCCACTTTCATCCATCTCTAATGTGAGTTCGTACCATCTCAACTAGTCTCGTTGCCAATTTCATCCATACTACATGCTAATATGCGGGCGCTCGCTTTGGTTTTGCAGATGCATGTCCGATCAACAAGTATTTGATGATACCATGCGGGCCAAACGCGCGCGTACGTGTGATCATCTCCAAAGCCGTTGGGCTTCACAGTATTATACACATCAGCTGTAGCCATTGTTTTCAGACACAAACGCCAGACTTGGGTGCGTGTTCGCTGAAATGACAAGATCGTTGTTTGCCAGTCTGGCAAACGAGACCATGCAGGCCATACGCGCGCGGATGGCGAAAGCATTTAGCAATCATCGCGCGCCGGCCAATTTTGAATGATACCATGCGGGGCACGCGCGCGTCCTCGCACGCGCATTCCACAACTAGTATAACACCATGGCCTTCTAAATATTTTAAGGTCAATGTAACCAAACACGCACGGCATCACCGTTGTCGCCGTCACCATCACCGCCGTAGCCAGTAGTATTGCCATCGTGATAGTCGTTGTCACCCCCTTCGTCAACACCACAACCATCACCACAACCATTGTCATCACCTTCGTCGGCTTCATCGCCGATGTCGTCATAACCATTCGCCCCCGCGAGTCATGGATCTGCATGATAAGGGTCCTCGCCAAGCAGTTGCCAAGCAGTCCAGCATTCGGGTTTCGCTAAGCAGTTGCGGGTGCGTGGGTGGATGGGACGTTGTTTTGATCATTGGAGCTGGCAGCTCGCAGTTCCCCAACACTCACGGCACTAAGTGTTGTACCGCGTTTGTTTGGTGGCCTTCAGCCCGTGTCGCCACCGTGCCTGGGTCGTGAGTAAGGGGCCTCTAAGAGGCCAAAGGGGGGTCTCTAGGTATTTCGGGAGCCTGTCTCAGGCCTCTTGGGTGCCTTTTGGAGGTCTCTTAGGGCCTCGTGGGGTTCTTGGGGGCCTCGTGGGGGTTTCGTCGCTGCCTCGACGGCCAGCTTCTCTTCTTGGGGATGCCATGCGGCGTCTTGGGCCCTCTTGGCTGCCTCGGGGGCCAGCTTGGTGCGACATTGGGGGCCTGTGGGGCCGTCTCGAGTGTTTTTTACAGAGTAGCGAAGTTAAGTATAATCACAACAGTGCAAGGTGTTTCAGTGAGTTTGGCCTCTCGGGCGGGCGCCCTACAACATCCAAGCATGCGCCCATGAAGGCCGCAGGACGGGCCTTGATATCCAGTGGCGCTGCGGCGCGATTCCGCCACCGCGCTCGGGCGGGCGTCCACGGGTGGGGGGTGGGCGGGCGCCAGGGGGGGGGGAGTGCACTGAAGGTCTCCCCCAACCTCGTATCTGGGCACAGTGTCTGCCTGATGCAAATAAACTCATCTTGGGCTCGATGCGTTGGGGGGGTCCAATTAATGCTTCGCAAGGAGCGAGAGGGCCCGACACACACCTACCGCTGCAAGGGCGGTGGCGGACCATATCAGGCCATGTTGGAAGGATCGGCTCCCAACTACTTCCCCCGTCCCCTTAGTGATCATTTCTGAGATTCAGGTTTTCTGGCATCGCATGGCTTCACGGAGGTCTCGTTCTTAAACCCCATATCCTAAGTCTGGAGTCTTGTTGTTGGTGTGGCGCTTACGCTTCCTTTTCCTTCTCCTTCCTCATCCTTAGTCCCGTACCCACTCAGGTCCAGACGCACTCACAGCCAGGCCCGCTAGATTCGTGCACCCAGACTCCTGGTTCTTAGAGCATTCACTCCCAGACTCCACGCTCAAACTCAGACACACTCGCACTCAGGCTCACTTGTTCAAACCGCTTCCACTCAACTACGCTCATACTCAGCTTAGTCATAGTCAGGCTTATACAGCCAGGCCCTTCCCACTGGCATCGTTCACTTTCAGACCCACACATGCTCGTACTCACTCATACCCGTGCTCGCCCCCCCATTATCTGCGATATGTAGCAGCCATCTCATTTGGGCAACCCAGGGGGTAACCGCCAGGAAGGGAGACAGTTGCGCAGTCGCGGCCAAGTTGTGGCGATGTTTTGAGCGAGGCGCTCTTTTGGCGTCGCCGACCCTTCTACTTTGAGAGTTTCATGGCCGCCGTAGTATGTAAAACCGGGATAGCAGATGGGCACTCCAAAGGGTAGCCGCCAGTGAGGGGGATAGTTGGCCGTTCGCGGCCACATTGTAGGGATGCCAGGAGCAAGGCGCTCGTTTGGCGTCGCGGACGCCGCTTGCTTCAGAGCCTCATGGGTTCTAAGCTTTGCGAGTCCCATGACCACCGCGATATATCAGGCATGGCACTAGGGCATCCCGAGGAGGACCTGCCAGGGAGATGGGCCGTTGCCCATTCGTGGCCAGATCACGTGAAGGTCTTGAGTGACCCGCTGGTTTGACGGTGAGGATTCCTTTTCTTTTAGAGGCCCATGGCCACCGCGGTACAGCAGGCATTGCACTCGGGAAGCCCAAGGGGGAGCCGCCTTAGAAGGGGACCCATTCGCTGTCAACAGTTTGGTGATGTCCGGAGCGAGGCGCTCGGTCGGCGGCGCGGACTGCTCTCCTTTGGGGACCTCATGATCACAGCGATACAGCAAACATGGCATCTGGACACTCCAAGGGGGAGCTGTCAAGGAGAGGGGGTGGGGGCTTGCCCGCCTGCGGCTAGATTTTGTAGGTGTTGGGCGAGGCGCCCGTTTTGTGCCGCTGACTTCTCGTCTTTCATAGCCTCATAGCCACCGCGGGATAGCAGGGCCTTTTCAGATCACTCTCGCTCAGTAACGCTCATACTCAGCTTAGCCACACGCAGGCTCATCAGACCATCCACTCCCTGACACACACACACACACTCACCGAGACTCACCCGCACGCAGGCCCACTCACCCAGACCACTCATACTCATATGCGCCCATATTCAGCTCAATCATATTTAGGCTCATACCCTCAGAAAGTGTACCTTCCCATCGTTTCCAGATTCACGCATGCCCAGGCTCACTCATAGCCATCCCCCCTTGTCCCCGTCATGTAGCAGGCATCGCATAGTGGCCGCCCAAGGGGGAGCCGCCTGGGTGGGGGACAATTCGTCGAGGGTTGGCCCTGCGGAGCGAGCCAGGACGCGATGTGACAGATTGGCCCTTGGCACTTGGCGCGCGCGCGCGTTCCAATTGTAAACGTACAGCGGCTGCGCCCCCCCAGCGTTCCGCATTTTTTCGTATTTCAGATTCGCCCGTAGTTGTTGGCTCTTAATCTTCACGCTTCGCGTATCTTCACCAGAGCCGTAGCCTGGCTCAAGCCCCTCTGGCTCAAACCCGCCCCTGGTCCAGGTTCGCGCCGGGCCCGCCCCGTCGCGATGGCTTCCGGCGGCGGCGGCCCTTCTGGCGCCGCCCTGCGGCGGCAGCAGCGCCTTGCCGC